ATGTGCGCGTGGTGAGGATCGTCGAACTTGCCCTTTTTGGCATCCTTGAATGCTCGGACTGTGTCGCCGCCCCAGAAGAGCACGATGTGGGCGATGAGGGCACCGATCGCAGCATTGGCCATGAACATGGCGTAAGCGAAGGTGCCTGTAATTCTCGGCAGGCCGTATTGAAGCAGAGCCTTCTCGTCCAGTATGCCATCGATGAAGACGCTCTCGCTTGGGTACTGCTTGCCCTCCTGGGTCAAGAGACGTGTTGACATGAAAGGCAGGTCCTTCGAACCCCAAGCGTTGCCGTAGTAAATGCCGAGCATGATGAAAAAGCAGAATACAAAGCCGGCAGCTTGGTGGAGTTGGAGCTTGAGAGGAAGCGACGACTGGAAGGAAGTGATCTGTAATAGCGATTAGTGTCTGCAGGGTATGAGTGTTTCGGAGCGCCTTCTTACGTATTGCCAGTCAAGCGAAATGCTGAACCAACCAAGACCCTCGTTGTTTGAGGCACCTCCGAAGAGGTTGGTAAGCGTAGCCGCCGTGTTTCCAGTCGCATGCATGGCAGCCAGACAGGGGATCGAGATAGAGTTCAACCAGGGGAAGATGTATGCAGGGAAGAACTCGTAGACGAACATGCAGGAGAAGGCAATCCAGAACCATCGGAGAGGCTTTGAATCTTTGACGCTCTGCCAGTGGAGACCTTGGAGGACCTTGACTGTAGGAAGGCTGCTCCAGTAGACCGAGTCAACGTGCCATACGCAGATGGGGCGCATGATACCGCAGATACCGTATCCAAAGAGTCCAATAGAAATGGTGCTGAAGATGACTGTGACAGGGCTCAAAGGCATGTCGTAGAAGAGGTCAGATGCAGCGAAGACCTGACTGGCGGGAGCAGCAATCGATGCGGAAGTGGCGGTGATGGATGTGATGGCATGCTCTTTCAAGTTCCACTCGCCGTGGTTGAAGAATGACATGATTGTAATCCACATGGGCGCCTTGCCGACTCCGCCCTTCTCCCTCCACCGAGCCTCGAACTTGTCTCCGCGGGGTAGTAGCTTGACCCATCCCCTGCCAAGGAAGTAGGCCATGAGGACGATGAAGGTTCCTTGGATGGTGACGAGAGTGGGTTTGAACTGGTTTCGTCAGCATTCAAGGTACGTAGCCTGTGGAGATATTGACATACCTGGTAGATCTGGTACACGACGGCTTGGAATCCGGACAGAACGGTGGCCAGAAACAGACTCCGGAAAGTCAACGCAGGCACAAAGTCGTCTCGCATAGGCAGTAGATAGGCTGCTGCGTCGGCGCCAGTAACGATGACATGGTCCTCACCGTCGCCGTCCTTGTCGTGCCCATCGCCGTCGTACTCGGGAAGAGCGGCCTTGATCTCAGGGTCCAAAGGGCCTTTGATGTCGATGTCTCCGTCGTGAGCAGCATGCTTCTTTTCGCTGAAGTCGTTGATAGCCTTGTGGCTGGGAAGACTGACGACCTTGCCCTCGACGGCGTCGGGGCGGCCCATAACCATCACGTCACCAAGAGGAGCTGCCATGGTTGCGCGCGGTAATGGTTTGGTTCATTGTCCGAGCGGGGAGTACTGTTACTCAAATATACAACTGCTCACGTGCTCTAGTGCAAACGCGTTATCGTGGCCTTCACCTGTGTGATTGCGGCGAGGTTGCGCGCAATAGCACGTCAGATAAGGCCCCTGTTGCAGGAGCGATAGGACTGCCACTCCTAGGTTTGAAAGGGCAGGTGTCCCATGTCAGGAAGCGGCCGAATACAGAAGGGTATCTAAAGATCATGCAAGGCGATGTTGGTGGCACGGCAGGTAACCTAACTGTGCAACCCGTGGGTCCTATCACTTCTTCCCTTCGTATTCTAGAACACCCGGCATATCAGAAACGAAGCCTGCAACCGTATATTGGGCAGGAAACTGCGGGGATAACGAGGTCGTGCCATCCCATGTCGGAGATGCCGTTCCAAAGGGGATGGCCTGGCACCCTGTTGCAACGCCAGGCTGATAGCGATCTATACCTAGGTAAACAACGGAATGGTGTCGCCACCAGGTTGAATGGCATCATCCGCAGACACGATATCGAATGCGCCCGGAAGAAGCATTCGCCGTGCTTATGACCGCGCGACAAGCCAATCGCGGGCAGACCTGGTGTCGCCGAACAATTGCAATGCAATTTAGGGAAGTTTCCTCGGCGTTCGTGCGACAGACGATCCTGTCTCGTGCGATTGGGGCGCTCGTCGTTTGGCGTTGTCCTCGAGAATGCGACGATAAGCGTTGCCAAGTGGGGGTGGCGCCCGCTAGGTCGTGCTTGTCCATCACAAGATGAAGCCTTGGTGGATTGAAGCACGCAGATGTGGACGGCGTTCCCGCGAGCAGCGGCGTCGTGGACCAGAATGCGGCAGTCAGGCCCGCAGTGTCGCCGTGGTGCGCGAAGATAAGCTGCCGAGTCCCGGGATTCCGTTAGGCTGGTTTCCGGTCGATGCAACGCCCACCTCCATGATTCTTCCACGAACAATAAGACATTTCAATAAAGTGTAAGAAAAATGAGGTTTGTCGCAAAGAAGAGCGTCCAGCAGTGTACTTAAGATGTAGTACTAGGATAATCTTTAGTGCTGACATCCAGGCAGCCATCTTGGCATTCTTACAGGCTGACTCATTTCTGCAGGCAAGCGCTCTGCATGCAAGTCATGCGATATAGCAACGAGCAATCAACATACCTAGGTAGCCAGTATAGTCCGGTTTTCAATGCGCATGTATCCAGGAACCCATTTCTCGGAACATGTGTTGCAAGGTCGTAATTTAATGAACCTCAAGTTCGTCTAGCTCATCAGCCCACTGTCTCAAACGCTGTTTAACTCTTCGAAGCACCCTGTACATCTCAGTAGAATCAAAGCGCTGTATCCTCCAGTCACAATGTCTTCCAGTCGATTTACAGCTTCTACAGCAGGTCTCACAACCTAGATCAATCTCAAGTACGTTCCCGGTACCTTTCAAGGGATGCCCGAGCTTCTTGTGTCGCACTACGTATACCAGGGAAGTCTTCTAGAAATCGCTTCTCTCCACTGCTACAGCCTATAATTCATTTTTGCTAAGTATATGAGAGCTGAGCAACATCCCATCCAGAAGTGAAGTACACTAGTCTCCATCCAGTGTACGCAGCCCTGTCGTTGATCCAACGCTCTATTATTCTTGTCGTTTCAAAAAGGATATAGCGAGTTATTCGAGAGGCTACTTGTTATGCAGATTTCTCTGCTGCTGCTTTCCAGCGCACTTTTGGCGGATGGCGATTCTGGTAGAACATACAAGCACAAAACTATTTCACTCAGCTGTCTCAAATCTTGAAGAACATGTGCGTCATCGGCTAGTAACCTCTACACCATTCACTACGTCTCCAGGCAAAACATACATACCCACAATGCTCTAGTCACTTCTCACACCTTCCCCAAAGTCCGAAACTTTCTATCAAAACGCTTTTTACAAAACTCTCCTGCGTAGCCGTTCGTCCATCCGGACCTCCTCAACTCCAACACCACCATGTCCTCCACGCACGAGCGTTCCATCCCCGGCCTTTCCGCCCTCTCCCCCACCGTAAACCCCGAACAATGCTACAGCGCCCTCTCCTTCTGCCTCCCCACCTCCCTCGCCTTCGCCAAACGCCTAACCTGGGAGCAAACCCCATGGATCCCCCACACATTCAACCACAAATCCGCGAACCCAATCGACGAAGCCGACGCGCACCGCATCGCCATCTACCTGTCCCTCCACGGGCACTCGGTCACGGCTCGAGACGTGCAATGCGCCTTGCTATTCGGAAGCACAACACCCGATCAAGACAAGATGACAGAGGGAATGGGATCGTGTCCGCAACTCTTCGTTATCTTCCCCCACGCAAGCATGGTTCCTTGTATCGACCGCGAATTCCTCAAAGTCTGGCACGACGACATAGTGAAACCGGCGTTCGATCATGCGTGGAAAGACTCTGGTCTCGCGTTCGTATACGGGTCGTCATTAGACACACCAACCCGCGTCTTGCCTCCAACAGGCGTCCGCACGTCACGCGACGCGTTTCCAGCATCTGGCTTCCTCGAGCGCCTGGGCAAAGGGAAGACCGGGGCTGTGCGAGACTACTGGCCTAGCTGGACGGATGACTCGTGGTATCTCGGGCTTGAAGGGAAATATACGGGTACACGGACTGCAATATACGACACAGCCTGGGACGCCATAAAGGGCATGTTGAAGGACCATCCGCAATTATCGTCGTACCAGGATCCCATCTTGCTGGCGATGTCGAGGGGAGTGGTGCATGTGAACCCGAGGCTGAGTACGAAAGACAAGTACAGGTATGTGGCGCAAGAGTGGGATCGGCTTGTTGATTCGCGGTTCGTGAAACAAGGGAGTTTCCAGGTGGTTTTTGAGACAGTTGTGGGTAATACGCCGGAGCCGGACGACTATCTTGAGGACGAGGAGATGTTGAGGGATGAGGACCTGCTGGATGAGGGGGAAATCAAGAAGATTAGGGAGAAGGAGGAGATGTTGAAGAAAGAGGAGATCCTAGCGATTGAGAAGATGGAGGCCGATGAGCCGGTCGTGACAGCTGGGCCGGTGGAGGCGACTTTGGCTGTCGAAGAGAAAAGCGAAGGCATCAAGAGGAAGGAAGACTTCAGAATACCTACGAGTGAGGACGAGTATCGCAATAAGCGGAGGAGGACGGAATAGCCTGGTTCGGCCTCTTTGTCAAAGAAACGCTGCAGCCGAAGAAGTGAACGCGGTCAGAAGAGAAGCGAAAGAGTGAGAACGTAAAATGTAGGTAAAAAGTTCATCAAAGCTATCCAAGCTTACCATACAACGCCAACCAATGCAATACTCCGGCTACGCACTACCAAAATGCGATAGCGATGATGAGGTGTTTCCTCACTCATGTCAGATGATACCAGCGATCCTATTTACGCTGTTCATCGATCCTAGCCCTAGCCCCAGCATCGTCCTCAACCTTCTTCTATCTTGGCTTCGGCCGCCGGAACGGATGTGCCTCAGTGTTGAACACCCAATCATCCAAGCTAATCATGTCCGGTGTGCTGAAGATGAGGTAGAAATACTTCAATGTCTCCGCTGTCCAGAAACTCTCCATCTTGTTCTCAATATTGTCGTCGCGTGTGTAGGGTACGTCGCCCACACCAGGAACGGATTTGTAGGCCCGGCCTGGAGCTTTCGGCGCTACGAAAGTAACGTCTCGGACTTGTCCGTTGGCATATGGCGTTCGAGTTGCGGCAACGATGCTGGTGAACATGTCCCACGCGTCATCGAGATACTGCCGGTCACCAGTGATGCGGTACATGATGAAGACGGACTCGATGGCTTCGGGTCTGAGTAGATACCGCTTGTCGCGGATGTTGGTGAAGCCAGGTGGGATCTTGTACTTTTCCACTGCATCGTTGAAAGATTCGACATATTTGCTGCTATAATGATACAGCGCACCCTCTTCCCAAGCCGTATGGTTCCACGGACAGGTTTTCCGGGAGTCGCAGGCGACCATATCGAATGTCTCGGGCATGATGCCAGTTTGTGTGGCGGCGTAGGCGTATATGCATCCCTTGGTAAGCTTCGCGCCGAGGTCCACGTGGTCAGGGTCAGAGAACAGGCGGCCTGCCAGACCGAACATGCCGCCAATGAAGCACGTAAGATGTTGCATGGTTGGGTCGAGTTTGGCTTCTTCACCGTGTGTGAAGACATCGCCGCACAGGAGTAGGTCTTCTCCGTGGAACTTGTCAGGTACCATGGGGCGGAACAGCATGTATGCGTCAATCATCTCCGCAGAGTCGCGATACAGCTTCTCATACGCAGGTTCCACCCCGCCCAGCAACGCATGCATCTTGGGGAAGTATTCATACGTGCTGTCAGCAAGCGCGCCGATGGAGAAGAAGCGAGATTGATTGAATTCTTCTTTCGCAGCATTCACCATAGTTGGCCACAAGCCAGGAAGCCTCGTACTATCCTGTGCACGATCCATCATTATGGTAATTCTTGCAACAGCGTCGTAGTACTTTGGCTCCGACGTAACCTGCGCCAGCCGCGTGAACTCCATGGTTAAGCTGCCGAGACAGGCAAAGCAAATGTTGCTCTCGGCGGAGAAGGCCAGCCTGGGTACCTTCTTGACGCCCTCCACATTCAGCCAGCCCAGTGGTGTATTATTCGTTGTGTCAAACGCTCGATACAGCATCTCTCCAAGTTGTATCGCCTTCTTAAGCAAGATAGGCTTCCCGCTCATGTCGTATGCGCTCAGCAGCCCGCCGAGGTATCTGATAGTCGTTTCGAAGACGCTTACGGTGGTCAAATTGGTCTTGCCGAAATCTATGGCCGCGACGGCCTCCACGGCCTCTTCGAATTCTTCTTTGAGTCCCATGATCCACAGCGTGTCTAATGAATCGACGAGTGTGGCACCCCAGCCGCCAAACGACTCCTCACCCTCACCAGTAATTGGCTTAAGCTCATCCTGTGCCCACGCAAACTTCTTGTAATTATTCCAGCTATGCCTGAATTCGTCTCGCACGGCGACTCTACGTTGTTCCCTCTGTTTTCTTTGCGCGTTTGTTTCGGGGAAGTCTTCGGACTGGACGCGCGGGAGTTTACGAGGAGCGGTAGTCGGCAGCGGTATGTAGGACGTGATCGTGTTCACAAAAGGCGCTTCTCGCCAATCATATGACTGCTCGGATTTGATGCGCGCGAGACTCGATCCATCGTGCATATACGCTTCGTGCTCTTCGAATGCGACAGCGAGCGCATCGGTGGGCTGCGCGTACAGCCAGTAATACCCGCCGAACGCGACGGCCGAAAGAAGCGCATATATAAGGGTTCGCTTATGCTGTCTCGACATTGGCCGCTGGTATGGCACCCCGCGGGGCACTTTAATCCTACGCATTGTGAGATAAACGCGCAGACCTGTAGTCTCTCATCGAATGTACAATGGGAGAAATGGTGTCGTGAGAAGTAAGCAGCCAACACCAAGTGGGTGGCCTGAATAAGAGGGTATGCGATGTAGTCGGATTAAGGTATCATGCAATGATGAGGAAAATGATGCCGGGTGTGGTGATGCCACCAAAAAGTGTGTTGTTCATGAAACCGCCATGGTGAAGCCGGCGCAAGGACACCTCTCCAGTGTGGAGGGATGTAACGGAAGTGACCCATCTGCCAAGGCAAGCTCCATTGCCGATCAAACAGAAAGTACAGGTCGAAGCACTTCCGGTAACCGTAGCGCCAGAAGCGACTATAGCACGTGTCGGCGAAATATATGAAGGTGCGTACAAGCGACGGTGTACTCTTCGCCGTGAAGCGCATGTGTTCAGTTGTGCCGGCGCGCTAGAGACGCGTTGGTGCATACGTGTCCGTGCATCTCCTTGCCCTGCTTGCAGAGCTGTCACCATTGCATTCAATCGACCAAGAGTGTAGATTTCCGTGTAAATTCAATTTTCTGCATGCTAATAAGGACGAGAGAGTTGGCTGCTGATGCCGTTGTGGTGACACTGAGGCGAGCTCTCTGCATAGGCTCTGTGCGTCATGAGCTTGCCCCGAAACGGCTCTTTAGCACGTGACGTCAGCAGAGGGTCAGGCCAGCGACGACGTACTGATGCCAATTCCACTTCGTTGCCGACACCAAGTCATCTACATTGAGCACTCCGACACCGAACTCTGTGAGCTTAAACCACAACATATCTCTCAAATTAATTGGCCACACTGGAGTATGCCAGTATCTACTCTGCAACCCCGTCTCCTGTACCATCTCAATCTGGGTCTTCAAGATCTTCTCTTGCTCTGCGCTCAGTTGATTGAATCAAATCTTACCGATAGCATCTTTGAGACTGATACTGACGTAATACGAGTTCGTATTGTTGAAGGTAGTGTTACCAGCAGAAAAATCGTCGAGCTGAGATCCCCGTCCCGCAGACTTCACCATCCTTCGTGGAGTGAGCGAACGAGACTTTAGCAACTCCAACAACTAAGAAAAGGTGAGCATAAAATCAAGGGATCTCTAAGTATATTTGATCTATCTACCCTTCAAACACGCCAAATCATCGTCCAGCTTCAAGAAGTCCCCGCCATCTTGATACGCCCTGAGGACCCCCGAGTTACGATTGTGTACTTGGCTGACCATGCGGTCCATAGCCTCAGTAGTCTGCTCCTCGAGAGTCTTCTCATTCGCCTCTTTGGCCTCTTGACGAATTCCATGAAGACGTTTGAGCCAATACATCCATCTCCACGGGGTGAAACCAGTCGGTGACCGCTTTCCGAATTCAGACTCAAGGAAGTGCTGCCCACCCTGCCCGATGTGACTGGGACAATCATTCCAGGAGAGTTCAGAGAGTTGGACAAGAACGTGACCAGCCTCTTTGATCCATGCACACACGGACGGCATGAGCTGCGTCAGATCGAGAGTCGAGATCGTCTGGTGTGTAGAAAGTTCGTCTGGTTGACCTCCCTCGATGCTGCTTCTTCCCTCAAACGTAGAGCAGAACAGCAAGAGAGCGATTTGGCAGATTCGATCCTTGCTAACGCGAGTCGACGCTAGCTTAGCCAGGAAGGATGCGAGGTTAAGTCGCTGGGCGTTCTTCAAAGCCGCGCAGTTCTCGATCCAGAATCCGGTCATGTCAGTGGCTAGAAAGGGTAGATCTAAAGATTGGTGTACAACGTCAGTGTGTGTCTCACATACAGTTCGAACGGGGATATTACTAACCGTTCCACACCGTTCCATCGACTGTTCGCGCAATGTCGATACCGTAGTGCCCAGTAGCGGGCCTGGTCAACGGCCCCAATCCCTGGATTCGCACGATGTCGAGGACCAAGCGGTCCTGTTCGCGCGTATCATACGCCGTGTGCACAGCAACTTGGTAATACATGTGCCACGCAGAGTGCATGTGGTGCACAAGAGAGTCTATACCATCTCCTAAGCTGCAGTATCGCTCACTGACAACCCCGGTTCGATTATAGAAGGCTGTTCCGCGGAGTCCGTCAAGCTCCCCACGCGCGACGTCTTCGCGAACCATTAGGATGTCATGAGCCACATTGTCTAGGTGGTTGAGTTCGGGAGGACCCTCTGGTGAGGGGCTCAGTAGAGCATCACGGAGGTGATGCATGTCGAGTTCGCGGTTGTGTTTGTATCGTTCACTGAATGAGTAGGATACAGAACGAAGGATAATGGAGATAGGAAAGCGCTCTTGGACATGCCTTTGAACCTCGTCTTCTTGTCACAATTTGGGTGCCTAAAAGAAGTCTCCGAACCTTGAAGATCCTTCTCATCCTAATGCAACAGCGTCACTGCTCCACGGTGTATTGTCTCCGATACGCTGATCTCTATTGCAGGTGTCTGCCTTGCCTTACCTAAGTAGGGTTTCCAGCGCATGCCGCCCCACATCTGCACTGTGCCGCCAACGGAGGATGGTCTGCGGTCCGCAAGGACCGCTGTTCTACTATCTTCGCTAGGCCGGTCTCCGTTGCTAGCGTTTGCGCCTTGGGCGTAGAGTAGTACCGGTGTATGCTCAAAGAATGTCTGCACGTTGCTGCCGGCTGAAGTCTGCAATCGGTACGCGGCAAGCGGGTTGCTTGGCATGGGGAAGCAAGGGACACGCGTGTTTAATCCTTTTGAGACGCGCTAGAGACGCGTCGTGCGCCCCCATCCCCTCGCCAACTTTGTGACGCTCGCACTTCCACACCCAAAACTCCCGCGGGTTTGCACAGCACGCATAGACAAGTGAACTCTTCGATTACCATTTCTTTGTTTTCCAGCTATGGCCCGAAGGACCAAACCGAAGTCTAAGCCAAAGGCGCCCCCCGTTCATTCTGCCAATTCCCCGCCGGTCCAGCAGGACGATGTCCAGGCCGCGTACCAGACCCTCGTGGAGTAAGACCACCTACGTTAAGGAAACCGCGGAGACTGACATACGTACAGCATTCGCAGCAAACTCGAGGCCCCAAAGAAGCGTACCGCAAAACAGCAAACGAAAATCCTCAAAGAGTCAGTTTCTCTCGTCGTACGAAACCGAAATTGCGTAGACTAATCACTAAGTTCGCTTTAGAGAATGGCCGGCCGCTGTCACAAAATACAGCGAATTATGGAATCTCCAATTCGCCCGTGAGATAGAGACTCGTCTACCGACCGAACTGAGAGCGATGATCTTCGACTATATTTGGGATAACAAAGCATTCAAGTATCATGAAGAGTCGATGCAATACCGTCTCAACCCTGAGTCTTGCCGCAGCGACGTACCAGAGTTACCGCACTTCATTCAAAGCCGCTTCATGGGTTTGAAAATAGCCCACGAAGTTATGGTGAAGTGGTACGAGGTACAACCCGACCGTAGCGATTCTGGCAGCTATCCCGACATTGATGGCCTTGGTCCAGTTGAATATATCACCATAGCATCAACGGAACGAGTCGTCTGTCAAGATATTTGGGATGTTGGACTTATTCCCGCAGATGTTTTGCAGTCACTGTATGTTTGTCTTTGGGAATCCAATACAGACATCGATGCAGAAGGCGAGACGCTTGTCAAGACCCTGATGAGTATCAGGAAGAAGAGGAATTTCAGTCTCCATATCGAATTGGTTCAACAGGAGGTCAGGTTAAACTTGTGGGTCCCGTGGATCGAACTCCTGAGACCTGTTCTCCAGGCATATGAACGCGAAGGAGGGCATTTGCGTTTCAAATGGGGGCATCCGTTTAACAGGTACGACGACATAGAGTTTGACCTCACCGAGGTGCTCAGAGATACGAGTGGAAGTGAACAGTGGAGGCAAGATGCGAGAGAGTATCTGGACAGTCTGGATGACTATATCCTCAAGGAATATCACGAGGTAGGTGCTTATTTGACCTCCCGATGATGACCTATAAATGAGTCCTCGAACCATGCGATCAACCCCTGAAAACGCAAGTCGGTAGCTAATGCTTTAACCGGTATCTAGGATCCGTGGATCGCATTTTCGGAACGCCATTACCTTATCGAGAATGAGCCAGATTATGACCCCAAGAATTATGCTCATCCTGCGCTCAACACTCCGCCCGGCTTCTATCCTGAATCATCAGAATACAGCGATAGCGAAGATGATAGCGAAGATGATGCTAGTCAAGACGATGCTGGCGAAGACGACCCCAGCGAAGAGGACTCAAGCGCAGACGACGCTAGCGAAGACGATGTCAACGCGGACGATGCTGGCGAACATGACTCTACTGCGCAAGTCTCTACTACGGATTAATCTGTCAAACATCCTGTCGAAGCCATTCAAGTGCAAACGGCATCAGCTCGGACGAAGACGACAAAGACGACAAAGACGACAAAGACGACAAAGACGACAAAGACGACAAAGACGACAAAGACGACAAAGACAAGCCCGTTGTTTTCGATCCCAGCGAAGCCGGTTCCAGCGACGATGAATACATGGAGAGGAAGCTAGCGGAGTCTATTCTCGGGACGCAAAACATAAGAAAGATAATAGGCCATCAAAGAGATGAGTTTTGCGGAGCAGGTACGTCGGAGTCAGGCCAGCTATCCAGCTTGATCTTGTTATGGAGTGCTCTTCTGATTCAGACGGTTCGGATTCAGACGATTCTTGCCCGTCAGATCTCTCGAATTGGATGCAGATATGCATAGTCACCTCGATGCATGGATTTTTTAATACACGAATATTCCAGCTTTTGAAGGCTTTCTCCAAAAAGCTGGAATATTCGTGTATTTAAAAAATTCATGCATCGAGGTGACTATGCATCTTGTTCGTTTAGCCAGGAGCAATGATATAAGATACCCACCCTTTGTTGAACGCGTGTAAAATTCTGTAACTGTACCATAGAAGTATAACAATAATCAATGTGTCTTCTTTGATGTAGCA